CTTCTCCCAGTGCCCAAGACAGTGCCCATCCTTACCTGGGCCCCAGCTGCTCTCTCACCAGCTTGGGTGCAGCGGCTACCTGTGGACAGAGCTCAGGAAACTAGGGTCATGGGTCCAGGCCAGTCTGCAGTCACACTTCCCCTCTTCTTTGTCCTGCTCCAAGACTCTCTCTGGATATTTCAGATTTTCACTGTCTGTGTCTCCGTGACTCTCTCTCTCTCAGTCCCTTTCTTTCCTGCCTAGGGTGGCTATCCAGCCGGCACTGCCCGCCCTCTATCCTCTTCTCCTCACTCCAGAGCCTTCTCCCGGAAGGCGGAGCCAGAGGGGCCTCCAGGTCTTGGTGCCATGACATCAGCGTGGCTAATGTCCAGAGGCTGCCCAGAGCTCTATGCTAGCACAGGCCAGCCAGCGGGGAGCCAGGGCACTGGGATCCCCCTCTGCCCGTGCTGCTGAGCAGCATGTGACCTGAGCCTGGGACACCTGTCCAGGCCTCGGCTGCCTCCTGTCACTTGTGGTAACATCTCTGCTCTCAGTACCTGGGCAGAAAGCCTTTTTCTGACCTGACTTTGTCACTGATTTACTGGAGTCTCGGCCCCTGCCCTTTGAGCCCGTTTTCTTCTCTGTGAAATGGCTGTTTGACTCAGATGGGCATGGCATGTGGAGAGTGCTGAGCGGGCCCCCACTCTGGCCCCTTCTCCACCTCCCTGTGCACCCCTCCTCCCTTCACTGGTCGGCCACAGGCCCAGTTCCCAAGACTCCCCTCAAATGTGTTTCCCTGAAGTGCATTAAACCAAACAATGCCCCCACAACCTGTTCTGGGCTGGGGGTGAGGGGTCCGGGAGTTGTGTGTTGTGCCCTAATCACCTAGGAAACCTGGCCAAAGGAGCAGACCTGGGGCAACCCTGCATGCAACAGGGACTTATACAAATTGAAATGAAATAGGTGATTTAAAAGACAGAGGAGTAAATATAGTAGCATTGGTGAAGACAATAATGTCAGGACCCCTTACTGAGACCCGGCACTTTCTTGTTCTGGTTCTCTGCCTGTAACACATCTGGCAGCTGCCTCACCAGTGCTGGTTTCTTTATGGACAGCTTGAGACTCCAGCAGAGGGAGGCATTCCTTCGGACCCCAGCCTCCATAACTGTGTGTGTCTGCAGGGAAAGGGCCTCTAGGCTGCCACCCAGCACAGAAATGGGTAGGGGCACGGTTGGGCCCACAGAGGACAGATGGCCCAACAGCACCACCTGCTGGCCACAGGCACCAATCAGGACATCTGCCTCTCCTGCCTGGAGCAGCGGGTGGGCAGTGGCAGTGGGGGAGGACAGAGTCCTGGGCCTGATTCTTCATTGGCCCTCATGTAAGCCCCACCCCCTGGCCATGCTCTGCTAGTGGCTTGGAGGACACAGGCTCTGGAGTCAGCTACAGCATTTTCTATGTGACCTCTCTTGCTAAGTCCCACATCTCTGAGCCTCAGATTCTCCGTCCTCAAAATGGACTGACAATATCCTCCTCAGGTAGGGTTGGGGAGGTGCCATGAGGTTACACCAAAGTGCTTGGGGGCCCCATGGAATGCAGTGGAGGGCTGCAGGCCAGAGATCTCTAGTTCCTTAGGAAGCTGGGCACCCCAAGAAGCCAGAGCTGAGACCTCTGAAGACCTCTGACTGCTAGAGAGCGCCCCCAAACCCGGCCTTACATCTGGAGTAGGAGTAGGAGTAGAAGTACTCCTTGCATCACCTCTTCTGAACTGCCCAGGCTGAGCTAGGCATGTGTGTCCTACACAGATGGGGAAAAGGAGACCTAGAGACATGGGTGTGCCTAAGGCCACGTGGCTGGCCAGGTGCAGGGCCCAGGACAGGAGAGGTCTGAGCTGAAAGTGGGTGGAGTGGTGGGAAAGTCAGGGGTGGGACGGGGGATTTCTAAATGCCCTAACAATTACAGTTAAATAACACCCACTATGCACAAACACAGGGGAACTCTGGTAGCACAGTGCCTAAGGCATTTGACTGCTAACTGGAAGGGTGGTGGTTCAAACCCATGAGCCAACCCTCAGGAGGAGGTTGGACAATCTACTTCCGTAGTGATACTGCCTCGGAAACCCAAGGAGGGGTCGCTATGAGTTGGATTCAACTTGACGGCAGTGTGTTGCGTTGTTATGCACTAACACTAAGCTAAGCATGTCACAGAATTCATATGTCCGTTTCTCACAATCTCACGAAAATTATCTGGGAATCAGCCTCCATTCATTTTACCCTCACCCTCCATCTAGTCTATCAGAATTGTCTGCTCTTCTCCCAAAATCTGTCCCAACCCTGTTGCTGCCCACCACCCTGCCTGCTTTCCCAGCTCAAGCTGCCAGCATGCCTCACCAGCCTCCACCCTGCTTTGTCCCTATCCACCCATGCTCCAACCTACAAACCCACCTCCTCTTCCCACAGCCCTTCACGTGCTGCCTCCATTGCATTGATCAGACAGGGGGTGGGCCTTCCCTAGACTCACAGGCTAGAATCCCCAGTGATGCCCACATGGCCCTGTTAATATGATCAGAGTATTTGTAGTTGTCTTCCCCACTAGTCTGTAGACAGCCCCAGAGGGGCACTATGTCTGCTTCCCTGTATCCCCAGTGCCTAGGAAGGACTCACCCTGCACTGAAGTTGCTGAATGAAGGAACGACTGAAGGATCCCAATTATCTCACATGTTAACTTTTAAGTCCTCCCTGTCTGTTCCTGTGACCACAGAACAGCCACCCAGGCCTGGGAAATAGTCCCTCCTCACCCCAAAGGAACAGACAGACCCAGAATGTCTTTCTGAGATTGTGGTAACATTTATTTCGGGAACATAACAAGCTGGAGTGGGGACTCTGTGGGCCCCCGGGCTGAAGGGTGCATCAGGCAAACAAAGCAATGGCTCTGCCCGACCACCCTCCAGTCCAGCCTGGATCTGCAAAGCAGCCAGGAGCCAGCCTGGCCCACCTGGAGGGGCAAGAATCAAGGGCAAGGCTGCAGAACTGACTAGGGTCTGGGCAGTGACCAGCCATCAGGCTAAAGCCCATGCAGTTCTGCCAGTTGGTCCTAGTGCATGGCTAAACAAAGTCCCCATGTGCCAGCCCCAGAGGCCGGTCTACCTGGTCTCACCTCTCCATTCCTCCACCCTCTCTCAGGAGTCTTAATGTAAAATAGACATTGAGAAGTGGCATTACATAAATGTGTATATAATGTCTACACATACAGAGATACAGAGAAAGGGGTATTGTTTCCCCTTATTCAGCACTTATTAGTACTTGACAAGCAGGAATCATGGCCCCACTTTGCAGTGGGGGGGAACTGAGGCACAGGAGGTTTATGTGACTTGCTCTTGGTCATGCTTCAGAGTGCCAGCTCCAGGCTCAGGTTCTCGGGTCAAGTCCTGCGTTTCAAAAACGAATCCTCTTCTTGCCTTTCAGTTCCTGGTCACACACGTGGGCCAGGGTCAGGGCACAGGGGCAGAGCTGGACCCGGAGTAAGGAGGCAAAGTCAGAGAATCCAGCACCTCCAGCCAGGACACTGGACATAGCAAGATCTGGAGGCAAAAACTCAGGTTCCTAAAAGGAATTCCTGGGCAAGACCACAGGATTTTGAGTTTGTGAGCCAACTGCAGTTTTTCACTTACTTCACTTGGCCTGTGAGCCCAAGACAGTACAGAAGAGACCCGAAGCATATCTGGCTCCAACACTCAATAAGATGCCAGCTTGCAAAAGCCTCCAGGACAAACACCTCTTCATTGACTTCTAGCCCTCCTCTGGGAAAGTACAACTCCTCCCATGCTCCCCCACAAGCAGAATCAAATACAACCAGAGGACCGGCAGGAGTTCAAGAAAAATACAACGGGTGCAGGATTTTACTTTTCCTTGAAAAACCCATGTTAAAATTGAGATTTTTAAAACAGAAAGAATATAAAACTTTGAGGATTAAAAGGAACATTTTGGTCTGGGTAGCAAGGAGGGGGCTGTGGTCTCCTTGGCTGTGTTTGAGGGGAATGTTGGCAGAGGGGTTTTTGGTCAGGTGACAAATTTTTCTCTCTCTCAGCACTGACACCAGCAGGCATGAGAACACCACCTGAGTCCTTTCTCCCAGGAAAAGCCTGGGCCTCACAGCAGAGGGCCATGGGAGCATGCTCCTCCATGGGTCTCTGTGCCCCTCCACCCGCCTGGCCACTAATGGATTAAACCATGCACACTCTCTCTGGCATCAAGGCTATGGAGGCCTTCCTTGACACCACTGTCACTACCTCTCAGGGGCCTTCACCCAGAGGCTGGGAATGAAATCAGAACCTAGCTGCAGCTCCTCTGGGAGTCCACCTCAGGAGAGGACCTGAGAGCAGAGGTGTGGCCGTGACAGTCATGCTGGGTCTCCCAGAGCTGCAGGGGTAGAGGCTCAGCTCCACCTGGGGGCTCACGCGTATCATTTATTCATTTGGCAAATGTCTGTTGAATGAATCCATGGATGGATGAGCAGTCAGGTTTGGAGGATGAAAAAATGTCACCTGCATATTTGCCAATCTCCAGCCTGAGCAGGAACCCAGCAGCTGTCAAGAGTCCTTTCCAGGTGGTTAGAAAACCAGGTACAGGTGACAGAGAGAAAGCAAGGCCTGGGAGACTGGGGTGGGCCCAGGACACAAGCAGCCAGAATAGGGCTTGGGGACATGGCAGTTTGTGTGTAAACAAGTGATATCTTGGCACTCCATTGGCAGAAAGCAATACTTAGGAAAATGTTTTCAACAGAGAGAGCCCCTTAGCCAAGGTGACAACTGGGGTGGTGAGGGCCATTTTAAATGCCAGGCAAGCAGACTCCTTCATGAGAAGGGAGAGCTTTGGAACCCTCAGGACACTGAGAGACCTCCCAAGGTCATACAGTGAGTTAGAGGAGTTAGGAAAAAGACCCCAGTGTCTGGGCTCCCAGGCTAGTCACTGGCCTGGTGGGGACATGCAGATGGTGGTGACAAATGACTGTTGGGTCGGGTATCAGATAGCCATGAGGGAGGCACTGCTGAGGATACACACGGCAATGGTGCCGGGCAAGTCACTGGCCTGCTGGCTGTTACGATCACGGAGGTGGAGGGTGTGCAGGGCCTGCAGGTCATCGGGGTCAGCCTTCATTTGCACCTGGCCCAGAAACTCATCTTTCAGGACTCGGTGGTTCCAGATCTGAGAGAAAACAGAGTACTGTGGGAGGGGCCAGCTTCAAGTCTAGAAGGCCTGTGCCTGGGAGGGGGTTGTGGCAGGACCTTGAATCTACTTCCCACAGAGCAAGCCTGGCTGAGGAAAAGGAGCCCTGCACTGTCTCTGGCCCTTGGGCATGGTCATGCCCCTTCTGTAGGCTCAGTCTCCCTACATGTGTCAAAGCTCCCTTCCAGGTTCAAAGTTAATGAATCTGTTATTTATCAGCTCTACTAATGTCTTTGGGTGACCCTGAATAAGTGGTACACCCCTTGCCTATCACCAGATAGAATACGCAGGAATCAGATTGACTACATCTGTGGCAAGAGATGATGGAGAAGTTCAGTATCTTTGGCCCAAAACAAGGCAAGGAGCTGATTGTGGAACAGACTGTCAACTGCTCAGATTCATGTTCAAGTTGAAGTTGAAGACAATTAAAACAAGCCCACGAGAGCCAAAATATGACCTTGATAATATCCCTCCTGAATTTAGAGACCATTTAAAGAATAGATTTGATTCACTGAACACCAATAACTGAAAACCAGAAGAATTGTGGGATGACATCAAGAACATCATCCACGAAGAAAGCAAGAGGTCATTAAAAAGATGAGAAAGGAAGAAAAGACCAAAATATATGTCAGAAGAGATTCTGAAACTTGCCCTTGAGTGGAGAGTAGCTAAAGCTAATGGAAGAAATGACAAGATAAAAGAGCTGAAGAGAAGATTTCAAAGAGCAGCTCGAGCAGACAAAGTCAATTATAATAATGAAATGTGAAAAAACTTGGAGTTAAAAACAAAAAGGGAAGAACACACTCAGTATTTCTCAAGCTGAAAGAACTCAGGAAAAAATTTAAGCCTCAAGTTGCAATACTGAAAGATTCTATGGGCAAAATAGTGAATGATGCAGGAAGCATCAAAAGAAGATGGAAGGAATACACAGAGTCACTGTACCAAAAAGAACTGGTCAATGTTCATCCATTTCAAGAGGTAGCATATGATCAAGAACCAATAGTAATGAAGGAAGAAGTTGAAGCTGCACTGAAGGAATTGGTGAAGAACAAGATTCCAAGAATTGATGGAATACCCATTGAGAAGTTTCAACAAACTGATGCCCCACTGGAGGCACTCACTCGGCTATGCCAAGAGATTTGGAAGACAGCTACCTGGCCAACTGACTGGAAGAGATCCATATTTGTACCCATTTCAAAGAAAAGTGATCCCACAGAATGTGGAAATTATCAAACAATATCATTAATAACACATGCATGTAAAATCTTACTAAAGATAACTCAAAAACTGTTGCAGCAGTATATTGACAGAGAACTTCCAGAAATGCAGCCTGGTTTCAGAAGAGGACGTGGAACAAGGGATATCATTGCTGATGTCAGATGGATCTTAGGTGAAAGCAAAGAATACCAGAGAGATGTTTACTTATGTTTTATTGACTATGCAAAAGCATTCAATTGTGTGGATCATAACAAATTGTGGATAACATTGAGATGAATGGGAATTCCAGAACACTTAATTGTGCTCATGAGGAACCTGTACATAGATCAGGAGGCTGTCATTCGAACAGAACAAGGGGATATTGCATGGTTCAAAATCAAGAAGGGAGTGTATCAAGGCTGTATCCTTTCACTATATTTATTCAACTTGTATGCTGAGCAAATAATCCGAGAAGCTGGATTATATGAAGAAGAATGTGGCATCAGGATTGGTGGAAGACTTATTAACCACCTGTGATATGCAGATGACACAGCTTTGCTTGCTGAAAGTGAGGATGACTTAAGCACTTGGTGATGAAGATTAATCTGCAGTATGGATTACACTTCAATATAAAGAAAACAAAAATCCTCACAACTGGTACAATTGGATGGATAGAGAATAGATTGAAGTTGCCAAGATTTCATATTACTTGGTTCTACAATCAACACCAATGGAAGCAGCAGTCAAGACATCAGACAATGTACTGCATTGGGCAGATCTGCTGCAAAAGACTTCTCTCAGGTGATGAAGAACAGTGATGTCTCCTTGAAGACTAAGATGTGCCTAACCCAAGCCATGGTATTTTCAATCGCCTCTTATGCATGTGAGAACTGGACAATGAATAAGGAAGACCAAAGAAGAGCTGATGCTTTTGAGTTGTGGTGTTGAAGAAGATTGCTAAGAGTACCACACTCTGCTAAAAGGACTAACAAATCTGTCCTGGACGAAGTGCAGCCAGAATGCTCCTTGGAAGCCTGAATGGCCAGACTTCATCTCACCTACTTTGGTCATGTTGTCAGAAGGGACCATTCCCTGGAGAAGGATGTCATGCTTGGTAAAGTTGAAGGTCTTCCCCTTCTTCTTCGAAGAAGGGGAAGGCCCTCAACGAAACAGATAAACACAGTGGCTGCCGTGATGGGCTCAGATATAGCAAGGATCGTAAGGCAGGCACAAGACTGGGCAGTGTTTTGTTCTGCTGTGCATAGGGTCACTATTAGTTGGAGACAATTCAATGACACCTAACAATAACAACAACAACAACAACCCTTGCCCTAGTGTCCTCATTTTTAATGAGGGCTGGATCAACTGTCCTCTAAGGCCCCTTCCAGCTCCAATATGTGTGGGGCTGTGATATGGCCCAGTGAGACTCAATGTTAAGAAAATTAGGAAAATCTAGTGGCTTCCATGGGGTACTCAAGTATTTGTTTACAGATAGTTTCAGAGAGATGCTGGCCTGAGCCCAAAGGATAGCGGGCTTCCTGCTAATGAGCTCAGGATCATGGTCCACAGACCATTTTGTCCTGAGAAGGGAAGGACCCTGGCCTTCTGATTCTCTGTTCAAGGCTCTGAGGAAACAGTCACACCACACAGTCTCAGGTCCAACTTTTGCAGATGGGCCCACCTACAGGGGAAAATGAGGAACAACTACAAAGGTTCTTCAGTGACGTGAGCAGAGATAACTGCTGTCCTCAGCGAGGAGACTGACTGACTCTGCTGGGACTTAGAACCACACCACTCCAGAGTTTGGTTAATCCCACTCACCCACCTTACAGATGAGGGTTCTAGGGCCCCTGGAGGGGCAGGCAAGAGAATTCTTGAAGCTACACCATGAGTCGGGACAGAGTGAGAACCAGAAGCTGGTGTTCCTAGATCCCCATCAAAAGCTCTCCATCGGGGCCCTTGCAACAGGTAGGCTCACCTGGATAGTGATGGGCTGGCCCGGCTTCTTGCGGTAGAAGATGCCTTTCACGTCGTATTCAGGCGTTGAGGTGCCTTTCTGCACAGTCGAGCGGACTTTGTCCCCTTCACACTTGATGATCACGTAAGAGTTAGCCCCTAGAAAGAGGGAGTAGGAGATGGAGTAAAGGTAGGGGCCAGAGCAGGGCTGAGATGGGACACATGTTTGGGAGGTGAGATGCCTCCCTGGGCTCAGGTGTTTGGGAGAAGGGGAGACCAGAGCCTGAACTATCTCAGGGCCTCTAACTCACAGAGACAAGGAGATGGGCTGGACAGGGGACACTGGCTGCTAGGACTTTTTCTATGCTGTTCCCTCTGCCCAGAGCACCCACCTTCCCTTCCCCACCTTAACAGCTAATACCTCTTAGGCGGAAAAAGGGCAATGCCTCCTGGAAACCTTTCTTGGGCCCTCTTCCCAGGTGTTTGTTCCTATGCCTGACTCTCCAGCCAAAATGGAGCTCCTTGGAGCAGATGGGTGGGTGATGGGGCCTGGGTGGATGTCAGGAAAGGGTTGTTGAATCAGTGAGCAAGAGCAGAAGAGCTCCGGAGGGCTGGGTGTCTAGATTCATCTGGGTAAGAGGCTGGGGGGCAACCTCCCTGAGCAGGAGGACCAGAGGGAGCTCACCTGTCGGGGAATCCTTGAGGCCAGCAGCCCCCAGGACATGCACCTGGGTTACCAACTGGGGGTAGCCACACAAGGAGGTCCAGCAGGAGTGGGGGGGTGCATCTAGGCGCAGCTCCCTGGGATGGGCAGGGGTGAGGAGGTGGGGCATGATGAGGGAAGTCAGGAAGAGGGAGGTGAGGAGGGTGATCAGAAGTAGGGTGGGGAGAGGAACAGTATTTAGTCCTGATGTCTCACAGCCAGGGCAAATCCCCGCAGGCAGTCCCCAACCATCCGACCCTCATGGGTTTCCTGCAGCTCTGTTCCTACCTGAGTGTGCCCCATTCTCCCCCAAGGGAAAAGCAAGTTACTGAGTATATACTAGGTACCAAGCCCTCTGCTGAGTATTTCTAATTCTCACAAAGCCCTGGGAGACAGTTAACTCTAATTATGCCCATTCTACAGATTAGGAGGCATCAGGCAAACCCAGGTGAAGTGACTTGCCCAGACAGGCTCACTAGACTCCATCACACTACAAACTGCCTCCTAGGTCTGGGATGTAAGCACAGCCCACCCTGTACTTCCAGGGACACGGCATCTGCGCTGCATATCAAGGTGGGTAGGGCAGTGTGAGACCCACAGGGCCTGCACCTCAGCAGGGATGAAGATGGTTTCAGCAGTCCACTGGACCTCAGAGCCAGGTACCCATGGGATTGGGGGACAAGACCTTGGCCACAGAGTCAGGCTGGGGGGCACAGCCTGACTTGACCTTAGACAGCTCCTTTAACCTTGATCCTGAATGCTCATCCAAAAACTGGAGCGGTCAGGCCTCCCATCTGGGGTATGGGGAAGATGAAATAAAATGAGGCAAAAGCTGCTTTGTAAAGTGCTGCACACACGAGAGGATTCCTAGTCCTGGCCAAGGCAGGTTGCGACAGGGTGGCCAGGGAAGAGAGAGGAACAAGACGGCATGAACGTCAGCCCAGGGACACTGGAAGCCTGGGCTCCACACCTTGGGCAGACACTGAGCTCTCTGGGCTGCAGATTCCAGGTCAGCACAGCGTGGGCTGTGCCCGTACCAACTCTGGCCCCGAACCAGTCCCCACGCACCGGCAGTTGGAGGGCACATCAGTGAAGACACGGAGCAGGAACTCGCCCATGTGGCCTGGATCAAACGTGGTAGGGATGATGACATAGTGGCCCTCAGGCTGGTCAGTACGTAGGAAGACACTGCGTGAGTTGATGTAAATGGAGCTGGCAGCCTTATGCTGCAGGCTGTGCATCCGGTACTGACGGTTCTCTTCCACCTGCAGAGAGGAGAGGGCTGGGTCACACAGAGCCCATCCTGCTCTGCCCCAGCCCATCCCACTTCTTCCTCTCTCACTACCAAGCAAAGGGCAATAGGCATGACATGTTAGCAAGCCTATAAAGATTGAAAGTAGATTAGTGGTTGCCTAGGGCTGGCGGGGGAGCCCTGGTAGCATAGTGCCTAAACATTTGACTGCTAACCAGAAGGCTGGCAGTTCAAACCCACCAGTCACTCCTCAGAAGGAAGGTTAGGCAATCTACTTCCATAGTAATACTGCCTCAGAAACCCAAGGAATGGTCGCTATGAGTCGGGTCTGACTCAGTGGCAAATAACAACAACAGGGCTGGTGGGGAAGGAGACGGGAGATTGGATGGCGATGGCTAAGGGGTACTGGGTTTCTTTTTGAGGTGACGAAACTGTCCTCAAATTCACTGTGGTGATGGTGGCACAACTCTGTGAATACATTAAAAGTTGCTGAAATGTACACATTAAACAGGTGAAGTATATGGTACGTGAATTATATGTCAATGAAGCAGTTTTAGAAAAAGAGGAGACAGGAATCCCTCTGATGATAATGTCTGTGGGGTTCCCACGTTGCAATAGAATCAAGCATCATGATCTGCCCAAGTCACAGCATGTTTCTGTGAAATGACAACACCCACTGTCTGGACACGCTAGACTATCCCCAAAACAAGTGTCCTGATATGTTATAGTCCCATAACCGAAGGTCACAAAACATCAGTCACATCAAAGTGTCACAACACATCAGAACACAACAAATGTTCCAGCATAATCATGTGAACAAATGTTCGGGACATGACGGAAACATCAAACACCAGGACTCCACATGGGGTGGGCACCCAGCACATCCATAGGACTTCATTAAATGCCCAGGGTTGGACAGTCATAGTGTCCTGCTATGCCAGGTCTTCACCACATACTGGGCTTCACAGCATGTGAAAGGCCGCAGGTCTCAGGTCAGAGGGAGTGGCCAGTGGTGAGCCTGCCTGGCTCTGCTCAGGGACATGCCTGCTTCGTGTCCTGCAAAGGCTTCCAATGGGGCTTTGGAAGCTCAGAAAGACCTGGGGCTCCGGGAAGCCAGGGAGCCCGTGTAATATCCAGGAGCTCCTAGGGGCTGCCCAGGCCACCAGTAATCCTCCCTTCCTCATTCACCAAGCAGGTCTGCAAGTCTGGGACAGAAAGAAATCGGGCCGAGAGCTCTCAAAGCCAGTCGCAGGCTCCTCTAAGGGCCCACATCACAACATCCCCGAGGTTTCAGCCAATGCAGCAGGGAATGCTGGGTGACTATGATGCTCGAGAAGGCACCCTCCCAGGCTCGGGCTGCCCAAGCTCCTGGTCCCTCGATTTCCTCATCCTGAGCTGGGGTCCCAGCTGGCCTCACCTTGTAGATGTCAAAGCCAATGGCCAAGTTCTCGCCCTTGCCTTCCTGGCGGGTGGAGCGCTTTGGCCGCTGCTGGATGCAGATCAATACCTCATCCTCTGGCTTCCTGACATCAAAGATGTACTGTGGGCATGACGTAGGAAAGAGACACTGCAGTGAGGCCATGATGAGGATGGGTTCATGGACTTGCAGAAGCTCAGACTCCAGAGCTAGACCTGGGCAAGCACACCCCTTCTCTGACTCCAGTTGCTTGTAAAGGCCTAACAATTCCTACCCTGTATAAGAGCTGTGAGGATTCCATGAGATAATGGTGCTTAGCTCTGTACTGGCATATAGATGGTGCTCAATAATGGCACACCAACCAGCTGTCTCCATTCGGGCTGAGGACCAAGTACTTGCTGAAGGTCATGACCAAGAGAAAGCTGCAGAGGAGACGTCCCTATGGAGGGAGTCCGGCCTGACCAAGTCCCCCAGAAGGAGCAGTACTGTGTGGATGTGGGAAACGGGTTTGAGTCCCCAGCTTGGGCTCTAAATGGCCATGTAATTCTGGACAAGCTACTCAGGAGTCCCTTTGAGCATCGGTTTCCCCGTTTTTACCATGTGCAGGTCAGACTATGGGGTTGGGGGCTACAAGACCACACAGATGGGACTAAAGTACCCATCCAACCCCCACTGCACAGATGGCCCAAGAAGGGACAGGGATGTGCCAAGGTCATGTAGAAGACCATGGCAGGATAGCAGCAAGGGCCTGTGTAACCGCTCCAGGGTGCAGGGCTGGGGGGCAGGGTCTGCAAGAACACCCACCTGTGGGTTCTGGAAGAATGTGTCCTTGTGGTTGATGCAGCCCCCACTCCGGTTCAGCCGTGGATCCTCATGCTGTGTCCAGGCACCATGCAGCCGGGCCTCCTCCCACGTCTTGTGAATGCTCAGATAGGAAGTGTTGATCAGGCGACATTTGATGATATCAGTGAAGTATCGGCACACATCCTCGAATGTCATCCTGGCCGTGGGAAGGAGCTGAGTGGGGCAGGTCCCCCCAGCCCACCGGTCGCTCGCTCTACACACTCTGAACCAGGGCTCACACAGAGAGTGAGCATGGGCACAGCGTCATGTGGACCCTCAACCTCTCTTTTGGCCTCAATTTCCTCCTTTGTAAAATGAGGATGCAACTCATAACACCTGTCTCCCTCACAGAGTTAGTGTAGGAATTAAGTGATGCAATAGAAGCATTAATGCAACTTACAACAGACAGAAAGTGCTTGGCAAAGACTGGCTGTAATTATTAATAGTATTAATAACAATGTTATTAAGCATGGTTCCATCCACTATCTTCCACAGCTGGGTGAGCTGGAAGAAGCTGATGGGTGGGAGCCCCTTGATAGACATACTGCAGAGGGCCAGGGTGTCGTCATGGTCACTGTGTGCAACGCTCACCTCCAGGAGCCTGGGCAGGGGAAGTAGGAGTGGATCAAGTGCAAACTTACATGAGAAAGGCTGCAGGAAGAAGCCCATTCCACAGACGAGGGCTTTCTTCTCTTTTCTTTTCTATTTTATTTTGTTGTCATTGTTGAGAATATACACAGTAAGACTAGGGCTTTCAATTGCTGTCTTAATTCAACTGACCCTTGAACTAGACTGGACAAAGTAATGTTGCTCACAAGAGCCCAGAGCCAGAGGGCCTGGGTGCCCTCCTGTAGCGGCTCACCTGACACCTCTGGGAAGGCTCCTCATTGGTGTGCCAGATCACCACCATTGGCCTCTGGGTCTGCCCTGGGTCGTGAGAAGCTGCTGGGCCCCCATGGTATCCACTACATACAGAGTGTCCCATACCCCTCCAGAAGTCACCAAGACTTCCGCTGCTGGAGCCCAACACTGAGTGTCAACATAGGCTAAATGAACACAGGGATGAATGAATGCAGCAGTGAATGCAGGGGTGATTATGAGGGGCTTCAAGCTAAGCTGCTGCCAACTTCCAAGCCCACTCCCCATCTATGCTCTCTCTAAGGTTGCCCCACCCCACCCCAAAACCTACATGTGCTCTCTCACCTTTGGGCTGGGTCTCTTTGCCCACCCAGGGTTTCTCCTCCATGAGGTCCCTTCCTCTTCCCTACCCTCACCTTGGGCATCAAGCTGCCCATTGTTCCCCCTGCCCTCTGGTCAACTTCCTACCCACTGGCATTCTGACCTACTTGTCAAGGATTCCGCATGGGACCAGAGAAGACTATGAGGATGAAAAGGTCCATTATCACCCAACTCATCTTACATTGGAGGAAACTGAGGCTCAGAGACATGGCGTGACTTGTCCAAGGCCACGCAGCAAGTTGACGATAGGGCATCTGCTAGAGTTCCCAATTCCCCACCCAGTGTTCCCTGCTGGCCAGGCCGACTTGACTCCGGGAGGCTTCCCTACCAGGCCCACAGGCCTCTCAACCCCAAGATGCCCGGGGACCAGCCCACTCACCAGAACTCGCCATCATCCTGCACCGTCACACCCATTTTCTCCCGTTCACTCTTGCTCACTTTCTGCCACTCCTCTGAGCTGGGACGCAAGGGCCAAGGGAGAGGAGAGTGAGGATGTGAGAGGTGAGACCTCACCAGGACCACTTTGGCAAAAGTGAGACGGTACCAAGACAGCTAAGCCCAGAGGTGTGGGTGTGGGTGTGGCTTAGGGAACCAGACCATGCCCAGCCCCTCTGAGAAGCCCCATCTGCCCACTCCCCCAGGTTACAGCTACCTCGTAGGCAGAGGTGAGGGGGACATGACACCCAGCAGACGGGGCCTGAGCTCTCTCTCCTACTGGCCTTACCCAGGCCACGGGTTGAACACAGATATCATCCCCATTCGCTCATGGCTCACGGCCTCCCTCCTTCTTTCCCTCCTCTATTCACTCTCCAGAGAGGTCTTCAAGTCCCCTACAGGAATCAGGTTGATCCTCACCTCCAGGCCTCCACCCATGCTGAAACCATCACCTATACACCCACTCCAAAATAAATCTCCCTTCTCTCTTCTTAATGTCATCCTCCCCTGAAATCCTTCAAGGCTCAGCCCTGGTGCCATCTCCAGGAAGCCTACCCATTCTAAACAAGGTGTTGTACAGGGGCCCATCCCAGAGACCACTGGCTTAGAGTTCGCCCTGCACCCATACCACCTCTCCACCCCGGGCCTCACGTGTCGCTCCAGGGCCCGTTCCACTCTCTCTCGCCCCAAGGGTTGCGCAGGCGGATCATGTCCAGCTTCTCCGACTTGAAGAAGGACAGCAGGCCATGGCCCAGGCGTACCTTGCGCACATCAGTGATGGCATATGCGTGGCCCTTCACCAGGCCACACGCCAGGCGGGCCTCCATGTCGGCTGCTGTTACTGCCTGTGGAAGAACACAGGTACTCAGAAGGCAGGGCTGGACTGGAACCCAAAGCTGGGCCAGATTTGTGCAACACCGCCCCCTACAGTACCAGAGGGGAACTGCAGCTCTATATAAAAGTGAGCTTTTGTTCCTCTGACTAGGGACTGTGTTAAGTGTTGTCAGCCCTTTAAACCCCCCACGGGGCTCTGGTGGCATAGTGCCTAAGGCATTTGACTGCTAACTAGAAGGCTGGCAGTTCAAACCCACCAGCCATTCCTCAGAAGGAAGGCTGGGCAATCTACTTCCGTAGTGAACCAACTCAGAAACCCAAAGAGGGGTCACTGTGAGTCAGATGCAACTCCATGGCAGCGAGTTTGGCTTGGTTTGGTTTTTATGGGGCAACAGTCTCTCGTAGGGAAAGGCACCTACAGTGGGGTCTGCCCAGTGGTGTGCTGGAGCTGATGTTTACTGGCTCAGCTGGCTGGTAAACATGCAGGAATTTTTGTGAGCTGGCTGGTAGCTAGAAATCAACCACGGTGGAAGCACTTGTACATCACAAAACAAGGAGATGGTCAAAGCAGGCAGGGCTTTTATCCCCTAGAGAGCTGGTTATCAGCATATCACTGGGTCAGCCCGAACTGGGTGCAAATTCTGCCTTCACGGAGCCCCAGCTTTCTCATCATAAACATGGCAATTATGAACCAGCATGGACTTCACAAATACCCAGCCCTGTGCCAGTGTGCAGTGGGGATCCCTTTCCTCTCTTACTGGCCCTTGGCTTCCAATGCCTCAAACATTGACTGCGGAATCCTCAGATGACCAAATACCTATCACCCCAATAGGAGAGTGGCTGTTAAAGGGGAGCGTTGGCCAAACAGTATGGAGAAGGCATTTCACCGCATGGGGGTCAGGGTAGGGGCCAAGTGTCTGGATTTATGAGCCTGGGCATGGGCTCAGCCCAGGACAACATAGCCACTTCCCACCTCAATCAAGGCTGATGAAGGCAACAGATGCCTCTGAGGCCTGGCTCAGTGTGTTCACCTTGATGGAGGCACTGATGAGGCCTCCCCGGCTGTGCACTTTCAACACGCGCTCGAAGAGCTGGTTCCTCTTGGCTTCATCATTGGCAAAGTCACCCTCGGTCAGATCAATGGGTTCAGAGACGCCACCTGTGAAGTCTACCAGTGCGTCCGCTGTGTTGCCTCCATCCAGAGCCTGGTAACAGCCCGCCAGCCTAGGAAGCAACGTGGAAAGAACTCCTAGCTCATGCATGCCAGCCTGTCTAAAGTCTTTACCTTATAGGGGAGATTTCTGAGAGGTCAAGCAAACTGTTCAAGGTCACCCAAAAGGTCACAGCAGAGCTAATGCTGGAAGCCAGGTCTCTAACTCCCAGGCCAACATCAGCCCCACTGAATCATACCATTTTATTGCTCAAATTCCCCTTAGCCTTAATGGCCCCATCTTCAAAATTCAGCCACCCAACAATCTAGCAATTCTTTTCAAAAGCATTAAAAACTCATATATCTTTTGACCTATCAATTCTGAAAAAGTAGCATCATTTATAACAACATGTCATTGGAAATAACCTAGATATTTAACAACAGGGAATTGGTTTGAAAAAATAATGCTGCATCTCTTCTCTGTGGAACATTATGTGACCACCGGAAAAGCACAGTCAGAGTCCCTACGACAAGGAAAATGAAAGGCCTGATCATTATATTTACAAAAACAACACAGTAGGATTCCAACTATGATAAAAAAAAAATTCCTTTTTTCTTTAAAAAAAAAAAAATATTTATTAAACCTCTACTACGCACACCAGAAGGAGCCTTCATGGCACAATAGTTAAGTGCTCTGCTGCTAACTGAAAGGCTGATGGTTCGAATCCACCCAGAGACTCTGGGAGAAAGACCTAGTGAGCTCCTGTAAGATTACTGCCTGGACCAGGTTTGCTGGTCTGATAGAGCCTGGTGAGACCCCTGAGACTATGGCCCCTAGCTACCTTTCAGGTCTGAAACTGAATTCACTCCTGTGACTTCCAGCCAAATAACAAACAGGCACATGAGCGTAACATTTACATGAGATAGATATACTCCTTGGAGCAATCAATCATGGAAGAACAGTAGGGCAGTGTTTGCACAGGAGTGCATGGGAGGGAAGGACAAAGGGAAGAGGTATCTACAGGGAGGAGGTGGGAAGAGAGCTGCTACTTTGTGGGGAACTGCAGTCAATATCATGAGACAAAATATGTACGAATTGCTATATGTAAAATGAATTTGCTCTGTAAGCTTTCACTCAAATCACAACAAAAATTTTAAAAAATAAAAAGATTACTGCCTAGGAAATCCTATGTGGCAGTTCTGCTCTGTCATGTGGGGTCACTGAGTCATACTCAACATGACAGCATCCAACAACATGCATGACATACTGGGAGCTAGGGTCACAGCTGTGTTTCTGTATTTAAGCAAAAATGGGTTGGAGTCTTCAAGGCATAGTGCCGAATATAAATCTGAGAAGCAAAAGGGCTGTAGAACCCAATCTATTCATGTAAATCACAAATGTATATGCACAAAACAGCATCACAGGCAGTGCAAGGTCACCGACAAACAAAACGATGCATCAAAGATGTTAACAGAGCTGCCAGTGTGTGGGGGGGGGAGGCACAGAGTACAAAAGGAGGACACCAACACAAAGAGCAGGGATGGGGCCTTGGATGGACAATGGCAATGTTGGTCAAGAACTAAGGACCCCAGTGAACTCAAACGGCCCAAAACTGGGGAGCGAGGAAGGAAGGGACTGGAAGAATATGCAGAAAATAACAGATTACCTTCTTTGTGCTTTTCTACATTTTCTCAATTTGCGATACCACACATGAATTCATTTCATAATTTAAAAAGTAAGTAAGTGAATTCAACTTTGGCAAGTAGCAACTGGGATCTTAAAAGCTTGCAAGCTGCCATCTAGATGCAATGATGGGTCTCTCCTCGTCCAGAGCAAAGAAGAATGAAGAAAACAAAAACTCATGGAAACAATTAGTCCTAGTGACTGGTACACCATCCAATCTGCAGCCTATACGACTATGAGACCAGAAGAACTAGATGGTGCCTGGCTACCACTGTCATCTACTTGGAAGGGGATCTATGTAGGAGATCCTTGATAGAGAGGGAGAACAATGTGGAACAAAACTCAAAATCATTTGGAGAAAAAAAAAAGGAGGGGAAGGGAGACCAGGTTTGCTGGTCCGATAGAGCCTGGTGGAACCACTGAGACTATGGCCCCTAGCTGCCCTTCAGGTCTGGAATTGAACCCACACCTGTGGCTTCCAGCCAAACAATAGACAGGCATATGAGTTGAACATTTACCTCAGGTAGACACACTCCTTGGAGAGAACCATCATGGGAGAAAGAAGGGGTGCTTATGCACAGGGAGACAGGTCAGGGGGCAGGAGTGTATGGAGGGATGGACACTGGGAAGAGGTAACTATGGGGAGAAGTGGGAGGGGAGCTGTTGCATTGTGGTAAACTGTGGTCAATGACATGAGACAAAGTATATGTGAACTGCTGTATGGAAAGTGAATTTGCTCTGTAAATCTTCACCCAAATCACACACACAGACAAAAAAAAGTAAATAAGTGAATTTAAAACCACACACACAAGTCAGTTCTGGAGAGGCAGAAAGGCTGCGGGACTGTGAAGAGTCAGTGGCCACCAGGGGGCGGGTTTTACTGTCCTAGGATTAAACAAGCCTGACGTTTTCTTGGTTTGTTTTTGAGTTGGGAGCTTTTGTTTTTCCTTTTCCTTTCATTATACACACATACATTTTCCAAGAAGACGGATAAATGGGTCTGGAAGAGGAATGGGGTGTGGTTCCCACAAAGCTGACTGGGCTGGTCTTCATCCCCATGGTCCCTCCTACCCCAGGCCTCCCCCTACCCTGCAGGGGCCTGATTAGGCCCCTCTGCCTGGAACTATCCACAGCTCAGCCAGTGTTTGCTTGTGCCCATTCCGTGCCAGGGTCTGGCAGAGTAAAGACAGAATAAATGGTACACAGGTAGACAATCAGACAGGTAGACGGATGGGTAGATGAGAGAAGGCCCAGCCAGCACGAAGGGCAGCTGTTTGGCTCACACGCCACAGCCCAGGCCCAAGCTCAGAGCTACCTCTGAGTAGGTTCAAGGCCTCCAGGGGGGCTTGGCAGCTTGGATCTTTGGGAATGATCAATGAGAGTGCTGGCTTGGCCCCCTGGCTGTTATAGGACACCCCCCTGCCTTAGCCTCAGTCTTTTCACCCGTAAATGGGAGTCATGAGGCCTCCCCTCATGGGTGGTTGCGGGTATTTGTCACTATCTACTCAGAGGACATTCAGTCAGGCCTCCCGCCCCATGTAGCAGGGGCCAGCTGACCATGACCTCAGTACCCAGGCTTTGAGTTCACTGTGTGTCTTTGCACCAGCCCCTCACCTCTGTGAGCCTGGGTGCCCTGGGTAAAGAAGCATGTTCTTCGAGCCCATCAGCAGTCCTGCCCACCCACCTGCCCTCCCCCACCAGTACCTACTTGGCATAGGCCTTCTCTACCAGGGCACACCAGAACTCATTGTGGGAGTTGGAGTGGCAGTAGATGAGCTGGTTGTTGACCGTGGGTAGCCGGTCGTCGATGACCACATCCACCCACTCCCCGAAGCGCCAGAAGTGGAAGTGGAAAATGCCGGCATAGGCGTCGGGCTTCTCAGGGTCCCACTCCTGCTCCTTCCAGTCTGGGATGACCTGGGTGGGGATGGGGGATAGGAAGGAGACACACTGAGGGGCACACTTGATTTCCTAAGCAAATGGGTGTGCAAGCCTCCAGGAAATCAAAATGGACAGGAATGCTGGCTTCAATTCCTGTCTCTGTCATGAACCAGTGTGGAACCTGGAGCAGATCCTTCTCACCTCTGGGCTTCAGTTTCCCCAGGTCTGCAGTGGTTAGCAGCTTCCTTAGGCTCCTTCCAGCTTTATTACTCTAAGATTCTATGAGCTTTCCCCTCCCTTCCTCGTGCCTTCCTCGGCATCCTCCTCTATCACAACTACATCCATATCACTAATTCCTAGGGGATCCTGTCTGTCTGTCTGTCTGTCTCTCTCTGGCCTCCTCCCTTCCCTCTCTCCATCCCATCAGGCCCACCCTAACTCCCAGTCTTCTGAAACCCATCTCTCCCTCCCAGTCCCACTGGCACCACTTTGCCCAACCCTCCTCACCCTGCCCCCCACGCTCCATCAGCCTCCAGCTGCTACATCTGCCCTTGCTCCTCCCTGCTCCCTACAGCAACAGTGGGATCTTTCAGACAAGCAATCTGATCATCTCTGGAGAATAAGATCCAAACCTTTAATGTGCTCTGGTCCCATCCCACACCTCTCTCCAGCTTCATTCCTCTACCTTCTCCCACCCCAGTCACTACCCTCTGCTCCCTGCTCCGTGACCTTTCCCTGGTCAGGAACTCCACACCTGTTCTTCCTCCTCCTCTCCACTCAGCTAACTCCTACCCATCCTTTAGGGTCTTCCTCAGCCAGAAGTCCTCCCCGACTCTTCAAACAAGGCCTGGACCCCTATCCACCAATCTCATGGCACCTAGGTTGAGACACTGATCCCCAAAACAGTCACTGTGTGATGCTGTGTTCAATATCTACCACTATGCCTAGAATGTCAGCTGTCTGAGGGCAGGGACCCATCAGTCTTGGTCAATGCTATATACCCAGAACCTAGCCCAGAGGGTGCTTGACCAAATGAATAAATTAATAGACAGAGATTGAGACTCTAGTAATAGCTATTATTTATGGAGCATCTTGGAAATGCCAGGTACCATGTGCCATGGATTTTCTCATTAAAGTCCCACAACAACCCTGTGAGTAGATTACTATTATCCATCCCTGTTTTATAGATGAGGAAAATGAGGCTCAGAGATGGGAAGTAACTCCTCCAGGGTCATACAGCTAGAAAACAGGAAGCCACGTGTTATGGGTTTAATTGTGTCCACCCAAAAAGATATGTTGAACTCTTGACCTAAAACGTGACCTTGCTTGAAATCGTTGAAGAAGTTATTAAGTAAGTTAAGATGAAGTCATACTGGTGTAGAAAATCAAAACCAAACCCACTGCCATCAAGTTGATTCTGACTCATAGCGGCCCTACAGGACAGAGTAGAATTTCTCCATACGGTTTCCAAGGCTGTAATCTTTGGCATAGTCCCTAAGGCACTTGACTGCTAACCAAAAGGCTGGCAGATCAAACCCACCAGTCACTCCTTGGAAGGAAGACTGGGCAATCTACTTCTGTAGTGATACTGCCTCAGAAACCCAAGGAGGGGTCGCTATGAGTCTAATCGCCTTGATGGCAGTGGACAACAATAATCTTTATGGAAGCTGATTGCCACATCTTTCTCCTGTGGAATGACTGGTGGGTTCAAACTGCTAACCTTTCAGTTCAGCAGAGTGCTTAACTACTGTGTCACCAGGGCTCCTTTACTAGAGTAGGGTGGGTCCTAATCCAGTATGACTGGTATCCTTATAAAAAGAAGAAACTCAGGGAGACAAAGGTGGGCGACAATCACCTGAAGACAGAGGCGGAGATTGGAGTTATGCCACCAGAACTGGGAGAAACAAGAAAGGACCTTCCCCTACAGCCTTTGGAGAGAGCATGACCCTGCCAACATCCTGAATTCAGACCTACTCTCTAGAGCTATGAGACAATAAAATGTTGTTGTTTTAAGCCACCCATTGTGTGATTCTTTGTTATGGCAGCCCTAGGAGACTAATACACCAGAATCTAAACCCAGATCTGTTTGCCTCCAAAGATGAATCTTCATCACTGTGGACTGCTGTGTGCCTGGCTCTTGGCTGAGTCCTGAGACCCTGATGAATCAGACAAAGCACACGCCCTTAAGAGGCTCCCAGTCTGTTGGAGAGCCATGCACACAGGTAAAGTGCTGAGGCCAACACAAGGTGCACCCTAGGCTGTGGAGAGAAGGAAATGGGGGGCTTGCCCTGGATGGCCAGCAGCAACTTCAGAGCAAATGTCCTTAGGGTGGGCAGTGGGCATCCAACAAATAGATGAGGGCACATGAAGGCAAACTGGTCTGCCAGAGGTGGGCAGCGAAGGGAAGACTCTTCACTCGGCCAAGTGGATGGGACCTAATGGGGCTCAGCCCCACCAGGGTGACAGGCAGCTCCTTCTAGGACCAAACCACCCCAGGTAGGACAGTTTGCACCCAGGGATCCAGGCTGAGATCCAGAAAAGAATCAAGAGGCATAATAAGCCCCAGAACTCCACACAGCCTGAGCACAGAGACTTTGGCCAAAGATGATTCCCCAACCCCCACACTTACTAAGAATGCTTTTGTTCACATGCCTCTTACCATCAAAAGTGATGCTGGCAAAGGGAAGTACTCCCTGATGGGACATTTGAGACCAAGAAAATGTAAATGCTAACCACAGTGAAAGGCACTGCCAGCACTAATGGAGACCAGCTAGATGCCAGGGCGGGCTGGGCTGCTTTGCTCTATTGGCCTGATCTTACAACAATCTTTTGAGGCAATACTATGGGAAGTCACTGGCAGAAGGCTGCCCATAGGCATGCATGAGGGAGGCGGGATTCAAACCCAGGGCCCAGGACAGTGCACAGGAACCCAGCAAGTGTTCCACATTTTTCCTTTTCCCACCTTCTTGCTCCTTGCTTCTCTTTTCAGTCACCTCTAAGTAAAAACTTTCAGGCCTGCCCCTTGCCTGACCCCTCACCTGAACCCTAGCCTGACCCCTTGCCTGATCCCTCGCCTGACCCCTAGCCTGACCCCTAGCTTTCTTTCCCCATTTTACTTCCAGGACAGAAAACTGGACCAAAAACTAATCACATGTTCCCAGCCCTGAACATTCCACCCACTATCCAGATGTTTTTCTCCCTAATAACAGGAGGACAAGACAAAAAAAAAAAAAAAAACTCAATGCCATCGAGTCAACTCCGACTCATAGTGACCCCCATTGGCTGTAAATATTTATGGAAGCAGACTGCCTCATGGAGTGGCTGGTGGGTCCAAACATACCAACCATTTTGTCAGCAGCCAAATGCCTTAACACTTTACAATCAGAGCTCCTTTAGCAGGAGGACAGATGGGGGCTATCCCCACTGAACAGAGTGGAAGGCTGAGGAACAAGAAGCGGCCCAAGGCCCCAGAGCAACAGGGGATCCTAAGCACTGGCCGGGGCCACTGACCCCACTGCGCTCCTTCTCACCTGCTCGGAATGTTCTGGACTGCATGGGGAGGGGAGCGAGAAAGAGGAGGGAGGAGAAGAGCCCTCATGGGGTGCTGGGAGGTCCTGTTGGGGCTGGGGGAAGATCATTAGCCAGACTCAGGGCTTGGCTCTGAGCCCTCTATGGCTCAAGAAGCAGCTAATGAGGCCCCAGGGTCTGAAGACCCAGAGTTAGGGATCCCATGGGCCTCAACTTCCCCTCTGTCCTGCATCACAACCATTGGACCTGGCATGGAGTGGGCCCAGGTCAGCCTTTCACTCCTGCTAAATTGGGCAGCAGGAAGGGGACTGTCCAAGCAGGTGAGCTCACACATGTGCACACATTAAACTCTCTCCCCCACCACATCTGGATATGCCAGAAATCAAGAAAGTGATCAAAGACTCCACATCAAAGGAGTGGCCAAAGATGGGCCAATTGGCCATCAATAAGGATAACTACAATGGACTAAAATACATCAAGTATGTTCAAATCCATGAAATCATAAGGACACTTAAAACAATAACACTCATTAGAAATAGTAGGATGGTAGGGGATCCATTATTTTTAAACTGGAAAACTAAAGGGAAAAAAAAATCAAGCATTTATCCTATCATCCCTATATAAATTTCAAAAGAAATTCACTGCCATCAAGTCAATTCTGACTCATAGCGCCTCCTATTGAGTTTTCAAGGCCACAGATCTTTACAGAAGCAGACCACTTCATCTTTCTTCCACAGAGCGGTTGGTGGGTTTGAACTATTGACCGTTTTTGTTAGCAGTCAGATGCCTTAACCATTGTACTACCAGAGCTTCTCACAAACTATGCTGGAGTATAATCAAATAGTAAATGAGGGAAGTTTTTTTATCTGGAGAAGAAAACCAACTAATAAGTGAGGATGAAATGATACTATCAGTCTACCACCATTTTTCAACCACTGACAAATGAATGGGTTTAGGCAATGACCATTAAAGGCTTTGAACACTACCAGAAAGAAAGCTACCAGCCAGGATGTGCCTCCTGAGAGAAAGAGCAACGCCTCCATGAAGCAGCCATGCCAAAAAAATTGAAACTGATCAAGCTTCTAGATCTAAGTTGCAGTTTACTGGAAATGCAAAGGGCAAAGGGACATGTTAAATGACACCATGAAGATGCAGTCAGCAAAACCCAGACAGTGGGAAACTGCTTGGGTTAAACGACCTAGTTTCTTTAACAAATAAATTGCAAAGCAAAATAAAAATTTAAAAAAGGGAATCAACCAATTGCAGTTATGGACTTTTGTTTAGATCTCATTCAGACAAATATAAACATAGACACAAACAGGAAATTAGAACACTTACTGGGTATTTGATGATACTGAGGAATTATTTTAAAACATTTTAGTTGCATAATGGTATTGTGATTATTATTATTTTTTAATGACCCCTTTTCTTTCAGAAAAGGAGCTCTGGTAACACAGTGGTTAAATATTTTTGGCTGCTAACCATAAAGTTGGTGGTTCTAACCCACC